GGCAAGTTTGATCTAATCCTCATTTGCTCCCAACTAGGAGGTAGAGCTGATCGTGGTATGTTCTTGGAACTGGCCTCTATGTTGCATAAAGAAATGTGGAAGAGGACAGTCGTCGTATTGACACAAGCAGACCAATTTAATACACTTGGGAGTGTAGGTGATATTGAACTAGCTGAAGAATTTAAAAAGCAAAAAAAGCTATACAAAGAATGTGTTTCTAGCTTTCTTTCTAAAAGTGTTAAGAAGGAAGTGCTAGAGAAAATACCATATTGTATAGCTGGTAAAGAAACCATGACAGTGTCACCCACATCAAAGGACTCGTGGAAAACTTTGTGGGAGACATGTGTTGATCGTTCTAGTGATGAAGCACGTCCTTTCTTAACATTTTATGCAAAGTACCAGCATCTTATTGACATAGGGATCTTTCTTGTTTCTACTGCTTGTATTGGAGCTGGGGCTGGAGCTGGGACTGGAGTTAAAGCAGGTGCTCTTGTTGGTACTGCTATTACACCTGGTGCTGGTACTGTAGCAGGAGGTGTTGTAGGAGGAGTTATTGGAAGCGCTCTTGGTGCTGCTGCAGCTGTTTTTTCTAAAAAGATTAAAAATAACTAACTTATTAGTTGAATGTATACGTTAGTTCAGCCTTCTTTACTTGCAAAATGTATTTAATCTAAAGATTTTTTCTTTATTTTGAAATATTTGGCTTGTCTGTCTTTTCATTATTAATTTACGTGTTAGAATATAACTATTAATATTAAAATAAATAATATAATTATTAATGGATCCCTCACTATTAATAACATTAGTGACATAAATAGCATCATTAATACCGTATAGCTGGTTTATTTTGTGGCCTCAAATTTTTGTTACTTAAATTTTCATTAGAATTAATTTTAGTGCCTTGCTAAATTTTTGTTAATATTTAATTGGTTTTAATAAAATTTAGTGGAATTAATTTTAATGGATTTGAGCCTGCACGAAAATTAATTCCACACGAAATAAACCAGCTATACGGTATAATTAATAACACCTCCATACTTATTGTAACAAGTATACTGATGATACTTGCAACTTACCTTTATGCATGTCATACAACTCACTTTGAGGGAGTGATTTTTGGTAATAGTGTACATGTACTTTTCTCTTGTATAATGCATGGTATATTATTTATAATATGTAGAGTCTTGTTTTTAATCTTATTCTTATCTTGACTTTATAGTGTGATAGTTTGGTTTAAGTTTGTATCAGTATGTATACAGTCACATGTCTCTACTCCTCCTCTAGTCCTCTTATAGTTATTATAATATTTTGTACACCTGGGTAAGCAGTTACTAGAGTCACGGGCTACTGGTGATAATGGCTACTCCATTAGATGATGCTGTGGAGGCTGAAGAGGATGATTCTAGTATGCAACTTAGTCAGGATCCAAGTGAAAATCTCACACCAGAAATGGAAGAAAGGACTGAAGCATTGTATTCTAGAAGAGATCCAGTTAATATAGTAGTAGTTGGTCCAGCTGGTGTTGGTAAATCAACACTCATCAATGCTATGTTTGGGAAGGAAATAGCTGAAGTTGGACGTGGAGCAGAATCTGTTACATCTAATGTACGTGCTTATGAAGAAAAGCACATGGGTATTAAGATGCGATTTTATGATACCGTTGGTTTTAGCGATACCAAAGGCCGAAGTGAGTATGATATCTTGTTGGATATTGCTGAGCATGGCAAATTTGATCTAATCCTCATTTGTTCAAAGTTGGAAAATAGAGCTGATCGTACTATGTTCATGGAACTGGCCTCCGTCTTGAATGAAGATATGTGGAAGAGTGCCATCGTGGTATTGACATTTGCAAACATCTTCATCCAGCTTGAGAATGTTAAAAAGTCTAATGACCTTGAAGGTGAAATAAGAAGACGAATAGATGAACACAAAGCAAGTGTTAAAATCCAAATATCAAAGGAATTACCATATTGTATAGCTGGATTAAAGGATCAAAAGCAATTACCTACTACAGAAGACTGGCTAAGAACACTTTGGCACATGTGCATTAATCATTGCAGTGATGAGAGGCGTCCTTTATTAAAAGATTATGAAGAGAATATTGAAGCTGGAACTCTTGGCCCTGCTAATGGTGCTTTTAATGGTGGCCTTGGTGCTCATGGTCCTGCTATTGAAGGTCCTGGTGCTCTAGGTCCTCGTAATGGTAATGGTCAGCGTCCTGTTGTTAATGCTGATGTTGCTCTTATTGGTGCTGCTAGTATTGGTGCTGGTATTGGAGCCACAGTTGGCTCTGTTATACCTGTTGCTGGTCCTGCAATAGGAGCTATAGTGGGAGGTGGATTTATTGGACTGTTGTTGGCATTTCTGCGATGTTTAAGAAAATAATTAAACTGATATTATAGTTTTTTTTGCTTGTAAGTTTTGGCAATTTATAATACTTTTTGGTAGCAAACATACCATAGGCAGTGACAAGGATCAGTTCACTCCTCCAGTTATTATAATGGTACCATAATTTGCACACCTGATAAAATAGTTTTTGTGAGGTCAGTCTGGTCACATGAGACCCATGCTTTAGAGAGGCAGTTATGGCTGAAGCTGAAGGTGAAAACAGCATAATAATTGTCCCAGGCAATGAGAACATCCAAGAAAATGAAAACATTGAAGATAATCCTACTGAAGACAGTAAAAAAGGCAGTGATGTTGATAATAAGGTAAAGGAGCTACGTAATAGAGGAAGGCCTGTCAATATATTAGTGATTGGTCCACCTGGTGCTGGTAAATCAACACTCATTAATGCTATGTTTGGGAAGGATGTAGTAATTGTTACAACTGAAATTAACATAGAAGTACATGAAGGAGAGTATAAGGGTGTGAAGATGAAGCTTTATGTTACCATTGGGTTTAATACTAGAGGCAAAAGTGAAGACAATATTTTATTAGGCATTGCTAAATTTGACAAGTTTGATTTAATTCTCATTTGTGCAAAGTTAGTAGATAGAGCAGATCCTCGTGTGTTCTCAGAACTGGCCTCTGTGTTAACTGAAGAGATGTGGAAGAGGACAGTTGTCGTATTAACATTTGCAAACCTTTTTATGAAACTTGAGAGTGTAGTAGATCAAAGTGAAATGAAAAGGCAGAGAAATGAACACAAAGTGTTCATTGTTGAATTTCTTTCTGGACGTATTAACAAGGAAGTATTGCTAGGAATACCATTTTGTTTAGCTGGGATAAAATATGAAAGGAAATTGCCTGTGACTGAAGACTGGGTTAAAACACTATGGGAGGCATGTATTAATCGTTGCAGTGATGAAACACGCCCATTCTTGACGTTTTATGCTAGGAACCAAGGTATTATTGAAGCAGGATCTTTTCTTGGTGCTGCTAGTATTGGTGCTGGCATTGGAGCAGCAGTTGGTTCTATTGTACCTGGGCCTGGTACTGCAATAGGAGCTGGTATTGGAGCTGGAGTGGGAGCTGGTGTTTCTCTTGTTGGGATTATTGTGGGGCGTATATTTAAATAACCATTATTTAATTTTATTTTTAGTCAATTTTATTTTTAGTATTGTAGAAAAAATCATTGTTTTAAATTAAACAACAGTTATTCCTGATTGTATCTTTCCATTATTATTAATATTAAAATAAATAATATAATTATTAATGGATCCCTCACTATTAATAACACTAGTAACATAAATAGCATCATTAATATAATAAGTAATAGCACCTCCATACTTCTTATACCAAGTATACTGATGATACTTCTCTTCCACAGCAACTCTACCTTTATATATATCATACAGCTCACATCGTGGGTGCTTGTAGTTAGACTTTAATCCGCTGCTGGAGAACACGTATTTAGCATCAACTGCAGCTAAGAACTCCCTCCTGTTAGCCAGCCTGTTCCATGCTCCATGATGAGACAGTCTGTATATATCAGACTGGAGCTCACTGTTGGGGGCGTGGCCCACACAATCAAGATACTTTCTAATGAACGTCTTGGTACCTTCGAAATCTCCAACCACGAGAGTCTTGACACCTTTATACTTGACGATAGCTAAGATACTGTCACGATTACGTTTTCGTCCACAATTACTGAGCTCAGATCCAACCACTTGCAGTACAGCATTGCTGTTAGGACAGAGGACCAGTTCAGTATTGCAGCCTTCAATTCCACAGCATTTACTGACTCGATGAGGCACTGCTTTATCTGATGATATCCTGTACCTACTCCACTGGCATGAGTGGTATACTGGGACTGAGTCCTTTTGGTATGTATCAAGTAATGGTTGAATGAAATTGATGTGATCAGCATCAGAGTGCGTTAACATTATCAACTTGATTTCTTGTCCGCTTAGATAACGTAATGCGTCGTCTTTGCTGAATCCTGTTGATTTGCTTGATCCCATATCAATAATACTGATCATTCCATTATCAGCTTTAGGACACTGTACTACAGTGGAGTCACCCTGCCCCACTGGTAGTGCATAAATATGTAACTGATCATCAGGTGGTGGGATAGACACTGCTGCTCCTACCACTAAGAGTATAATGTATCCTGTCTTCATCATTCACTGCTGTCTTGTATATCCTAATGAATATAAGTCTAATTTCAATTGATACTGCAGTGTTGTATAAGTGTATTGGTGATTCTATATACATGTTCATTGCTATTATTATGATCATGTACATTATAGTGATTGTTGGTTTATTATTGATAAGGATATTACCAATATTAAAAACACCACTACTTTAAGCTGTGTCTACCTGTTACTACTGTCAATAGTTGTACTTACTGATTCTATTGTAGTATCAACTGTAGCTATCTTGTACTCACTGCTTGATAGTGACAGTTCTTCTCCCCTCTTTTTCCAGTGAATTGTAACAGCGTCTTTGTTTCTTACTGTTTGTATATTCAATGGAGTGTTGTTCTTATTATAAAATCAACTGTTACTATATTTACTGTTACTAAATATAGTAACAGTTGAAAGAGCTACTAGTAGTTTGAATGACACTTTATGTGAAATGAGTATATTAATTAACATGCACATGTACATGTTAATTAATGTGCGATATATTTATGTTAATAATAAGTGATATATTTATATTGATTAATTAATGTCTTTATATTCTCAACAGGTTATGGTAAGAGCCTATGTTACCAGTATCCAGCTGTGTATTGTAACGGACTCTCGTTAGTGATATCACCTTTAATATCACTAATGGAGGACCAAGTGACACAACTCAAGTATGTTTATTGTTTGTGTTTATTTATTGTTGTTGTTTATTGTTTGTTGTTTGTTTTTAGTGTTAGAAATATTCCTTCATGTTTCCTCGGATCTGCTCAATTTGATGAAGCAGCTGCTAAGAAGAACATCCTCAGGTGAATCAATGAATGACTCAATAACTGAATTTATTCATCCTCCCTACCCCTCCCCCTCTCTCTCTCTTTCTCTCTCTCTCTCCCTCCTCTCTCTCTCCCTCTCTCCTTCTAGTGGTAATATTCGTGTCTTGTTTATCACTCCAGAATATGCTGACCGCAGCAATAAATTCTTCATTGAAGTCTGTGAGAAAGTTGGTACGTTACTTAATTAAATATTCACCATCATCATTATTATTATTATTATTATTATTATTATTATTATTGTTAGGTATTACACTGGTAGCAATAGATGAGGCTCATTGTGTGTCTCAGTGGGGTCATGACTTCAGAGACAGTTACAGGAGACTGGGGAACATCAGGCACCATATTCCTAATGTAAGCTAGTATACACCATTGGACTCACCTTCAGCTAATGTACCTGTTCTTAATACAGAGGAGACTGGAGTCCTCATTATATTATGTTATTATCATTAGGTTCCATTATTGGCGCTAACAGCTACAGCGACACCAGCTGTTAGGAAGGACATCATCAGCTCCTTGAGACTGACTAACCCACTCATGGTCACCACCAGCTTTGACAGGTACATATAACAATTTATTATTTATTTATTTATTTATTTATTTATTTATTATTTTATTTATTGTGTTAGGCCTAATTTATATATTGAGATTAATCCCAAATCAGGTTTACCTTCTGAAGACTTCAAACCATTGCTATTAGCAACCAAAGACCCAGCGACTAACAGGTAATTAATAATAATATTATTTTTAATATTATTCATACATGTACTTGTACTATAGGACAGTCCACAGTTTTGAAGGCCCCACTATAGTTTATTGTCGTAAGAAAGCAGTTACAGAAGAGATCACCTCAGTATTGAAAAGTATTCTAATTCCTATATCATCATAGCCACACCTCCTGCCCCGCCCCCTCAGGTATGGGTGTGTCCTGTGGTACCTATCATGCTGATATACCACTGAAGGAGAGGAAGGAAGTCCATCATAAGTTCCTGAGAGATGAACTACAGGTAAACAACAACAATTGTCATGTTTACAGTGTGTTGTTGTTTATTGTTGTTGTTGTTATTGTTTACAGTGTGTTGTTGCCACCATTGCCTTTGGTATGGGCATTGATAAACCTGATGTGAGGCTAATAGTACATTATTCAGGTAATTAATAATAATTAATTGATTAATTAATTATTAATTAATTATTAGCTCCACAAGATATTGAATGTTATTATCAGGAAATAGGACGAGCTGGAAGAGATGGGTATTCATTAATTATTCATTATTCATTTATAATTTATTTATTTATTTCTTATCCAGTTCTCCCAGCAAGTGCTACATGTTTTATTCAGACAGTGACTTCAATTTGAACCGGTACACACACACACACACACACACACACACACACACCATGGCATTTCTTATTTCCTAATGCATATACATGTACTTATGTTGTGTAGAAAGTTTGAGCTGATTCCGATCAAAATTGGATTTTTTACGAATTTTTAAAGTTTCTCCAAAATTGGACAAAAGTCCCTGTACTATAGTACAGGGATTTTGTCGAATTTCACCAAAAATGGAAAGTAGAAAATTCCTGAATTTTATTACATTTTCTGATACATATACATGTACTTATGTCATGTAGAAAGTTTGAGCTGATTCCAATCAAAATTAGATTTTTTACAAATTTTTAAAGTTTCTCGAAAATCGGACAAAAGTCCCTGTACTATAGTACAGGGATTTTGTCAAATTTCACCAAAAATGAAAAGTAGAAAATTCCTGAATTTTATTACATTTTCTGATGCATATACATGTACTTATGTTATGTAGAAAGTTTGAGCTGATTCCGATCAAATTTGGATTTTTTACAAAATTTTTAAGTTGCTCCAAAATCAGATCAAAGTGATTTTAAATTTCGCCAAAAATGAAAAGGAGAGATTTCCTCAGTTTTATAACATTTCTTGATACATTATGTATGTGTTCTTATGTTCATTCTCTCGTCAGGTTCTTCCTAAAGGACATCAGTGATTCATTGTTCCTGGAACACAAACAGAAAATGTTGAGGAAACTAATGACACTCCTGAGCTCATCAGAATGCAGGAGAAAGTACCTCATTAATTAATTAATGGTTTAATTAATCTATTAATTAATTAATTAATTTAGATTGCTGTTGGAACATTTCAGCAAGAATCTTTCCACTGACATTGGAGGTCATAAAGACTGCTGTGATAACTGTAGGAGATTGTAAGTGGGTGTGGTCACTATTAATTAATTAATTAATGGCTCCACCCACTCATTAGTTTACGAGGTGATATTCAAATTAAAACAAATTATTCAAAAGATGCCAAACTGTTGATGGACGTGATTAAGGTATTAATTAATTAATATTTAATTAATTGATTATTATTTTATTAATTAGGCTTTGAGAAATGATTATGGTATTACAATGACAGTATCAATTTTAAGAGGATCAGTACGTTATTAACTAATTAATGAATTAATATTCATAGTGTTACTATTTTTAGAAAGCACAAAAGATTCCAAAGTACATATTGAAGCATCCAGTGCATGGAAAAGGATTGTAAGTATTATTAATTAATTATTTATTTAATTATAGTTAATTAATAGACATCATTCTGAGAAATGGTGGAAGTCATTTGGTAAAAATATTAAATTTAAACTTTCTATCACCTCCTCTCCCTCTCTCTCTCCCTCTCCTTCAGCTGGTGTACTTATTTCTGGTCATTATTTAAGAGAAGAATCCGTTCCTAATGGTTTTGGTAGTACAGTATCTTTATCAAGTAATTATATTTATTTATATAATTTTTTATTTGTTTGTTAAGTTAAAGGGAGCAGGTGGTATGATAGGTTTGAATCTGATCCAGATGGTACAACAATTGATGTAATACCAACCAATGACATGATAGCGTACGATAAAGAACAACAAAAACAGCAGTAATTATAAACTATTTATTTATTTTATTTTTATATTTTTAGTTCAATAATTCCTTCAAGTCTTAATCCAAAATATGCCGCATCAGCAGCAGACACGGTAATTAATTAATTAATTAATATTCATTATTATTATTATTAATAGTTTATAGCCAGCAGTGATTCCTCATTGATAATTCCATTGAAAGATGATCCTTCAAGTTACAATGTATTATTAGTTAACATGAAGAATGTGGGTGGGGAAGTGGGTGGAGCTAATGTCCCAATTAAAGACAAAGAGACTGAAGCATTGGAGGTACGTTAACTAATTAATATTATTAATTAATCGGTGGGTGTGTCTTATTTCAGAGTGCTCTGTATGAGGAGCTGGTCAGTTATAGAAACCAAATAGCTCATGAAACTGACATACCTCCTTTCATGATAGCGTCTAACAAACTACTAGGTATGTTATTTATTATTTAATATTACTATTATTATTAATTATGCTATTATTATTATTATTATTATTATTATTATTATTAGGTATTCTGTCTTTATCTCGTCCTACTACTGAGGAATCATTGCGATTGATTGACGGAGTCTCTCAACAATTTATTACCAAATTTGGAATGAAATTACTAACAAAAATAAAAGAATATTGTACAGCTCATCCAACCCTCAGGACTGACACTGAACTCAACAAAGGAAGAGAAGATACTGACACTGATACTGGGAAGATACAAGTAATAATAATAATTCTTTCTGATGCATATACATGTGCTTATTATTGCACAGAAAGTTTGAGAAGATTTTGGAACCTTTTTTTCCAAAAAATGGCTCTGAAATCACCCCCAATTTTTATTATATTGATGTCCTTATGCTGTGTAGAAAGTTTGAGCTGATTCCAACTATGATTTTTCAAGTTATGGCCATTTTAAGAAAACGTCAAAAATCTGAAAAAATCCCTGTACTATAGCCCATGGTTTTTTTCAAAAAATGGCTCCGGAATCACCCCAAATTTTTATTACATTTTCTGATACATATTGATGCCCTTATGCTGTGCAGCAAGTTTGAACTGATTCCGACTTCAATTTTTCAAATTACAGCCAACTTAACCTCATCCTCTTTAGGTAGCCATAAAGGTTCGTAAGTCCATCATTGGTCCAATAAGTGAAAAGAATGGATCCTATTATGATTCATATACACGGGAAGGACTCAGTGTGGTAAGACCAGATATAGAGGATTTATATATTTAGTAATTATTGTATTGTAGGAGGAGATAGCTTCAAGACGTGGTGTTCAAGTTCAGACTGTCATGGGACACTTAGTGGATTGTTATGAAGCTGGGTACATGCTCAACTATAGAGAATGTAAATATTAATTATAATATTAAAATCATTATTATTATTGTTTATTATTATTATAATTAGTGGGGTTTACTGAAGAGATTGAGAGGCTCATCACTGACACTATAAGGAGGCCACCAATATCTTCAGGTACCTCAAAATTTAACGGATAACCTTTCATTATTTTAACGGGCAACCTCTTGTATTTTTACAGACGTAGGAAGATTAAAGCCGATTAAAGAACAGTTACCAGAACACATTGAGTACTGGCAGATAAGAATGACAATAGCACTACTGATGGTGACCAGTGGATTCATTAGGAATAAACTAACTACAACACCAACACTGACATCACCTACTGTAAGAATCAATGAATAATAATATTACCAGTGGGTTGTAATAAATTATTACTGTGCTTTGAAGTAAAATAGCACTATAAAAGTCAATGATCAATAGAAATTTTTAATTTTTTGAGTAAATTTTGTAGTTTTTGACACCTTGTTATCACTTACAAGGTGTTAACAAGAACAGGAAGTGTTCAAAAATTTATTTTTAATTCAATAATCATTATAATTATAATTTCTTTGTTTTACAGTTATCTTCAGGTTCTTCTGGTACAGCTAGTAAGAGATCATTACCAAACACTTTTAAAAGGAGCCACTCCTACAGCAGCAGCAGCAGCAGCAGTGGTGGGTATGGTAGAGGATACTTCACTGGGTCTAAGAAGAAAGCAAGGAAGTTCTTTTGAACTAACTCTACAACCAACCAATGAACACTTCATTCATTTATCAGCTACTATAATGCCCTATTTAATCTTGTTTATTAATCAACACATTTTATAATTATTATTATCACTTTATTTGTTGCTTTGTAAAAATAATTTAAAAAAGATGTCAGAGACAATAATAATAATAATAACTGATGTGTGGGAGAGTCTAACCTTCATTAAATAACTAATCTCATTAATTAGATCTCACCCTCACTTCCACTCCAGTCTTACTCCACATCACAAAGATAATAACATGGCTACTCTTTTTCATGATACTTCTCAGTCTGAAGAGAATGGTTCTGATGATAATCTCTCACTAGAAAATGAGGAAAAGTTGAAGGCTTTGGGCTGTAGAGAAGATCCAGTCAATATATTAGTGATTGGTCCAGCTGGTGCTGGTAAATCAACACTCATCAATGCTTTGTTTGGGAAGGATGTAGCTACGGTTGGATATGGAGCAAGAGGTGTTACAACTGAAATACATTCTTATGAAGGAGAGTACAAAGGGGTTAGGATAAGGGTTTATGATACAGTTGGGTTTGAGGGCAGAAGTGATTGGAGTTATTTAAGAAATATTAGGAGGCATGAAAAGTATGATCTGGTCCTCTTGTGTACCAAGTTAGGAGGAAGAGTTGATCGAGACACATTCTTAGAACTGGCCTCTGTCTTACATGAAGAAATGTGGAAGAAGACAATTGTCGTATTAACATTTGCCAATCAGTTTATTACACTTGGAAGTGTAGCTAAGTCCAATGACCTGGAGGGTGAAATAAATAAGCAAATTGAAGAATACAAATCATACCTTACTGGTCGTCTTTCTAATTGTGTGAGGAAAGAAGCATTGGTGGGAATACCGTTCTGTATTGCTGGGGTAGAAGATGAAAGGGAGCTACCTACTACTGAAGACTGGGTGAATACACTGTGGGACAAGTGTATTGATCGTTGTAGCAATGAGACATACCATTTCGCATCATGGTTTTCCATTATCAAAATAGTTGCTTTTGGTTTTGGGGTTGCAATAGGTACTGCTATTGGTGCTATAGTTGGTTCTATTGTACCTGTTACTGGTACTATAATAGGAGCTATTGCAGGTGGATATATTGGTGCTGCTATTACAAAGCGTGTTGTTGAAAAATTTAAAAACTATTAAACTGATTTTATTGCTTTTGTTTGACAGTCTACTTTATTTTGTTTCGTAAAATAGTTATCATTTATCATTATTTTGAAATAGGAATAGACAAGTAGTCAAGTCAGTACATATGTTGTATTGAATAGTATGTTTATTGATAAAGGAATAGACCACACATCAGTGTACACTCAATATGTTCACTCCTTGTTTTTATTGTAATGACAATTACAAGCAGCTTGACTGGAACGAGCCGACTGTACTCCTACTCTCGTCTAGTCCCCAGGCTACTCCTACTCCTATCGGTGGGCTCACAACTAGACTATCTACTAAGCTCTACATGGCTACTCCGTTAGAAGATCCTGCGGTTCAGTCTGAGGATAATGATATACAGAATGTTGAACAGCAAAATGAAAACCTTTCGCCAGATGAGGAAATTGAAGATAAAGAAAGTGAGGAATATTGGCAAAAGATTGAAGAACTGCGTCAAAGAGGAGAGCCTATTAATATAGTAGTTATTGGTCCTACTGGCACTGGGAAATCAACACTCATCAATAATTTGATGGGTAAAACAGTAGCAAAAGTTAGTCATGGTATAGAGTCAGAGCAGTTAAAAGTTGAAGTACATGAAGGGGAACACAAGGGAGTAAAGATTAAGGTTTATGATACTGTTGGATTTGGTGACAGTCGAGGCAAAAGTAATTTCGATATTTTAAATGAAATCAATGCTAAGGGTAAATTTGATCTGGTCCTCTTGTGTATTAATATGACCAGTAGAGCTAATGCAGATCTGATAAAAATTCTAAATGATGTTAAGTTTAAATTGCATGTTAACTTATGGGAGCATATGGTTGTTGTACTCACACAAACAAACCAATTTATTGGTGACCCACTAATACAGAAACTGTCAGAAGCTGCGAAGGAAGAAGCTGTGCAAAAAAAAATTAGGGATTTGAGACGATACATTCATTCTAAAGTTTCTGATCGTGTCCAGACTGATACTTTTGATAAAATACCATTTTGTACTGCTAGTGATGAAGTAGATAAGCTTCTGTTGGAAAAGAATTGGCTAAACCCATTGTGGGTATCATGTATTGATCAATGCAGTGAAAGGGCATATTCTTTTTTGAAAGAATTTGCAAAGTACTACCTTGATAAAGCTAAATTTCTTATAGACTATGCCAAGTTAAGCGTGAGGGAAAGTCTAAGGGGTCAAGGGGGTCAGGAAAATCCGAGGAGTCAGGAAAATCAGAGATGTCAGGAAAATCCAGGAGATCAAGGAAATTTGTGGTGCATTTTAATCTGAAAAATTCCTTAATTATTAAAATATAGTTTAATAGTGTTAACATTATTATTAGTGAACATTTCCATTATTATTATTATTATTCTATTAATGATATTATTGTTACATTTATTGTAGTTTTGTAAAAGTATTAAAAGATGTTAGTAATGATTCTTTATCCAAATTAACTCCTAATAATAAATAAATAGGCTGTGTCTAACGCTCCGGTAACTATTAGATGTCTGTGATGCTAGAGCTCTGGTAGTCCGTTTTTTCTCCATAAAACAGCTTGTGCGCATGCGCAATAGTGCAAAATGGAACTTAGTCTTTTTATCAAGAAACACTAAACTCAAATCCCAAAAACAATACGATCCTGGAGGCTAAGATGTACGAGAGGATGCTTATTTTATGACCTAAAAAACCAAAAGTTAAAAAAAAAGCAAAAAGGTACTGTATAGCAAAAAATTTTCATGGCCCAAAAATTTCTTAGATCCGTTCAAAATATTAATTTTAACTTTAATTTTCATGGTCTTGAACCGTATTGAATCAATTTTCACAAATTTTATTTTCGTGGATTTTGAAAAAATGCAAAATCCACAAAAATTTCCCCCTATACAGTATTTAAAAAAAAAAAAATCAAAAACCATAGCATAGTTTCACTCAGTAGTCCTGACCGGATTCAAATACTGCCCTCATCCGTGCAATCCATACAAGCCTCTCCACTGCACCATCATGATCTTGCTGCACCAATGTCGCTGGTTGTCGTATTAATAAATGAGTGTATTATTGATACTGGGGCTATGCCCCAGTATACATGTATATAGGGGTGAAGCCCCTATTACCGGAGCTCTAGCATCATGGACATCTAACAGTTACCAGAGCATTAGATACTTTGTAATAAATAATAATACTACATTGTACACTTATACATAGATATACATACATAGTTTGCCTATGATGATCGATAGCAACCAACTCAACAAATGAACAACCAGTTCATCACTTAAAACAACCATGCAATAAATAATAATAATGGTAATATAATATTAATAACATATAGCGTGACCAACCACCTGTTATTTTTTTCCAGGCAGAACGAATTACTAACTACTCTCCCTCCCTCCATTACCTATAAAGACTAGTCTGTTCAATTGTTCTTCATTCTCCTCCCATCCACTGGTTGGTATCAGTTCATATAACTCATTAACACACTGGAGTATAACCTTAACTGGACTGGACTCAATACACAATAAACCCTATAGACATGATAATAATAATAATAATAATAATAATAATAATAATAATAATAATAATAATAATAATAAACATTAACGATACTTTCATTCTCATTATGTTCATTTCTTTTCCATTTTTATTCTTTATTGACTTCTCCCACAATAACTCCTTATTAATCATTAATTAATAATAATAATAAAATTATTACTTGTAGCCACTCCTCCAGTTTATTTTCATTAATTGATCCAATTACTTCAAAAGTAACCGTATTTACTGACTAATAAATAAATAAATAAACAAATAAATATAAATAAATAAACTACTTTATCAATGTGATACTGATCAGTTGTTGATTGTGAATATAATTCAATTTTACCAATGGACCTGTAGAAAGGATTGAAAGGGTTAAAAATAGAATCAGTAATTACTTATCACTGGTAGTATAACAATTGATATCTAAAATATCATCAAGATTAACCCTGAAACAACAACAAATTATGAACAACAACAACAATAATAATAATGATGATGATAATAATAATGATCAAGGTTACTTTGATCTAATTGTTTGTATAAAATTAGCCATAGAGTTAATAGATCTATTAAATCAAATCAATATCAGAATCAGTGTTAAGTGTTAACCTGATTCTTTGAATCACTGTTGATATTTCATCATCATTAATTAAATCACATTTATTAATAATAATAACATCAGCTAAACCAATCTGTCTAAAGAATAAATAAATAAATAAATAAATAAATTAATTAATTAATACCTAATTGCTTCATTAATTGATCCGTCACCTTTCACTTCATCTAATTGCTAAAACCAATTAATTAATTAATTAATTAATTAATTAATTATTAATTACTTTATGAATGTACTTTGCATCAACAACAGTAACAATTCCTAAATAAGAACATACACAATTTATCAAAAAATGTAATAAAAATTGAGAATTCTCTCCTTTTCATTTTCGGCAAAATTTGGCCCAAGACCATGTACTATAGTACAGAAACTTTTGTCCAATTTTTGAGAAACTTTGAAAATTCGTAAAAAATCCAAATGAGATCAATATCAGTTCAAACTTTCTACACAACATAAGTACATGTATATGCATCAGGAAATGTAATAAAATTGAGGAATTTTCTACTTGTCAATTTTGGTGAAATTTCCCCAAAATCCCTGTACTATAGTACAGGGACTTTTGTCCAATTTTGGAGCAACTTTAAAAATCATAAAAAAATCCAAACTTGATCGGAATCCGCTCAAACTTTCTACACAATATAAGAACATGTATATGTATCAGAAAATGTAATAAAATTGAGGAATTTTCTACTTGTCAATTTTGGTGAAATTTCCCCAAAATTCCTATACTATAGTACAGGGACTTTTGTCCAATTTTGGAGCAACTTTAAAAAATCATAAAAAATCCAAACTTGATCGGAATCCGCTCAAACTCTCTACGCAACATAAGAACATGTACATGTACATGTACATGTACATGTACATGTACATGTATTGGTAACACAGTGTTCTATTGCTATTCATTATTACCATCAAGTATTAAACTGCTTCCAAGTCCATCATCCAACCAGAATATACTAGCAATGGGTCCAGGGTCAGCCAGTCCTGTGGTCTCCAGGAGTATATAGTCAAACTTTCCTTTATACTCCATCAGATTCTCTATTGCTTTTACTCCTGCATCTCTACAGGGGAAGTGGTTGAGTGTTAATATGTGGTATTTTATGTGTACTAAATGCAGTGAGGGATCTTTATCATTAACTATTAGCTAAAAGCATTGACTAACCAATATATCATTAATATACTGATTACAAGTAGTTCCATCTTTATATTAATTATCTTTACCTCACTGAACAGCAGAGGCACCCATTCCTCAGTTCCAGCCATTCTTCATAAAGTTCCCCAGACTGACCCACTGCCATTGACTTCTCTACAGCAGATCCTTCCCCAAACTCATTGAGTATCACTGCGATCCTCTTCTTGTGCTGTTCTGTTAGTATATAGTTCAATAATGTGGTTTTACCAGCTCCTTATGAAGAATGACACAATAATCTCTTCATAATTCTCTTTATTTACCTAGGAATCCAGTTATTATTGTTACTGGTACTTTATTTCTACTGGTCTGAGGCTCTCTCTCCTTCTCTTGCTGAGAGGAGTCATCTTTAGGAAAGGAGAGAGGAACCAGCTCTGGAATATCATCCTCTTCATCGGAAGCCATTTTAATTAAGCCCCACCCACCTGACCATGCTCCGGATCCGTCCCATTCATTCTATTATTAGTAAAAATATACGGAGAAAAGTGAGTCACTTTTCTCATTACTTTGCCTACTGAAAAAAAAACATTTTCCGTTACACTAAGAGTATACGGAAAATCAATTAATTTAATTTTGAGCCCCACCTATGTCCATACATGAACGTGTATAAAAATACATTATCAGCATTCTTTGCAGCACATTTTTGCTTCAAATCAAGATGAGGTCATTGTTAGCTCTAGCTCTTCTCTCTTTCTCTCTCCTCCAGGCAGCAGCTGCTAGTAGTCCCTGCAGGACTGAGAAAAGTGTGTAAACCAATGAAGCACCTACTTTATAACAATTAATTTTCTGTTTTCTTTGTTCCCCTGCACAGCTACATTCGAGCATGGGGAAAGGATAACTGATCCACTGCCACACACTTACCTTAATCTTGCTGATCTCCCGTCTCAGTTCAGCTGGGAGGACAAGGACGGGCAGAACTACCTCACTCCACCAAGGAACCAACACATTCCTCAATGCAAGTTTGATACAATGACCATTAGATCCATTAGTAGTATCTTTGAATAATATAATCATTATTGTTGTTGTTATTAAGTGCAACAGACCTTCTTCTACTTAGACACACTTAAAATAAACTAAACGAATATTTTATTGAATTGTATCATTGGGTGGAGCTCATTAGCTCAAGGTGTTAACAATAGTGTGAACGAGATACCTCTCTCTTTCTCTCCCTCCCTCTCTTTCTCTCCCTCCCTCTCTCTCTTTCCCTCCCTCTCTTTCTCTCCTTCCCCCCCTCTTTCTCTCTCCCTCCATTAGATTGTGGTTCTTGCTGGGCTATGGGTACTACGTCAGCTCTCAGTGACAGGATCTCAATAATGAGGAACAATACCTATCCAATGGTTCAACTAGCAACTCAAGTTATCATCAACTGCAGGGGAGGAGGTTCATGTCAAGGTAGAGTAATGTAATAGTAAATATAGTGTACACACTTACTGTATTCTGGACAACACAACTCTTAAAAGGACCTGCCATACTACCTGTTAGTAGTAATTCTATTGTATTTTAATTTTAATTGGAAGCATACTTTTGCATAATCAGTTAAGGCAATGTTAATGTAAACTATGTCCTTGTTAGAAACGTGTATCTCCTTATTCTGAGCATAGGCGCCGGAACAGGGGGGGCAGAGGGGGCTAAAGCCCCCCCAGTCTTGAAACAGGAGGGGCTGAGCCCCCCCCCAGAAATTCTCTGCAACTGACTAACAAAGAAAATAAAACTGACTTTTATCAGTAAAATTAGACCTGCAGTCATCATCTCTTCATTTTATTTAAAGAAAAAGACAAGAAAACTACTCTAAATCCAACAATAGAAGATTAGCACCATTTTTTGTAAAATTAGCAGCCATTTTGTATAAAACCACACCCATTTTAATAACTTAATTGATGTTCAGCCCCCCCAAAATAAATTTTGTTCCGCCGCCTATGATTCTGAGGCTACGTTGTTATTTATCAAATTCTTTTGTTTGTATTTCATTGTATGTCACTGGAGGATAAGCCAAACTGAAAGTACTAGATGAAGGCTACTATACTATTTACCCTCTCCATCCGTCCCTCCCTCCCTCTCTCCCTCCCTCCCTCTCCTCCCTCCCCTCTCTCTCTCCTCCTCCCTCCCTCTCTCTCCCCTCCCCTCTCTCTCCCTCCCCCCCTCTCCCCCTCTCTCTCTCCCCTCAGGTGGTAACCCCGGTGGTGTGTACGAGTACATACACAGACACGGTCTACCTGATGAGACCTGTCAGAACTATGAGGCAAGGAACGGAGAGTGTACTCCAATAGAGATATGTGAAAACTGCAGCCCCAAGAATGGAGTGAGCCAGTAATAACATTATTCAAATTATTATTTAATGTTTCTGTTTCACTTGAAGTGTGTAGCTATACAGGACTATACCAAGTACTGGGTAGGTGACTATGGTAGTGTGAGAGGTCCTGATAAGATGAAAGCTGAGATATATGCCCGTGGTCCTATTGGGTGTGGCATTGATGCTACTGAGAAACTGGAGCAATATACTGGAGGGATATTCTCTGAAAGGAAGCTGCTACCAATGATAAACCATGAAGTATCAGTAAGTATAGCAATAATGATGTTATTTTTTTGATAATAATGTTACGTTGAAATTGTTACAATTTAGAATTGTCTATTTTGTATTACATTTTCTGATGCATGAACATGTACTTATATTCCGTTCCTTCTCCAGGTGGTAGGTTGGGGTGTTGAAAATGGAGTTGAGTATTGGATAGTCCGTAACTCCTGGGGCACCTACTGGGGGGAGAATGGGTTCTTCCGTATAATGATGCACAAAGACAACCTGGCAATAGAGACAGAGTGCGACTGGGGAGTCCCTCTACTGAAGGAACCAAACAAACAACATCAAGTCCATAAACAACAACAACAACAACAACAAGAATATAAATGTTCTTGTGTGAAGAAAAGTGATTCAGTAAGTCATTTATTAAATTATTTATTTATTTATTTGTTCGTCAACAGGTTAAGACTCATGTCCATACTCCTGAGCCCCATACTTACATTAAACTGGAGGATATTCCAGCTGCTTATGATATTAGGAACATTAATGGGAATGATTATTCAACTGTTAACAGAAACCAGCACATTCCTCAATGTAAGCAATCTGATTGGTCAATACAAACTGTGTACGAATATACCGTACAGCAGGAAATATTTGCGGGGAATTAAATTTTGCGAGTTTGCAATTCCATTTAAAGCGCAAAATTTAAATCCGCAAAATAATGAAATTCATGCATGACCACAGTAGATAATGCTACAATAACTGTCAAAACCGCAAATATTTAATCCGCAAACCAGGTTATTTTTAAGGATTCGCAAAATTTTTCTCCGCAAAATTAACCAGCTGTACGGTATATGTATTATCAAAACTTTCACTGTTTTTTCTGATTAGCAATCAAAACTATGAAATTAAAACATTAACTAAATCTGTACGATAACATTAAAAATTTGCAAAAAATAGCTATTTCTGCTATAAAATTTATTTTTATTAATTTTCAAAAGCAGCACCTATGCAACCTCTATTGTTGCTATGGTAACTAGCCCCTCCCTCCATTAGATTGCGGTTCCTGCTGGGCCATGGGTACCACCTCAGCTCTGAGTGACAGGATCAAACTGATGAGGAAAGGAGCTTACCCTGTCATTAACCTCTCACCTCAAGTACTGGTCGACTGTGTCACTGTAAGAGAATACTACAGATTAGTATTGTTATTGTTAATATTATTATTATTGTTATTATTATTATTATTATTATCATTATTGTTATTGTTATTAAAAACAAAGGCAACAAAAAAAAGGGAAGGGAACAAAACAGAAAGATTAACAACTCACAAAAAACAGCAATGGAATAACACTAAAAAAGACATTATTATTATTATTATTATTATTATTATTATTTACAGGCTAATAATTCTCATGGTTGTGACGGAGGAGATCCTACAGCTGCTTATTCTTATATTTATGAAAATGGTGTACCGGATGAGACATGTACCAACTACCTGGCAAAGACCCAGTCTTGTGAGCCAGAGAATGTTTGTCGTAACTGTGACCCATCAGGGAAGTGTTTCGCTGTACAGAAATACACCAAAGTAAGTACTAATGCAGCAACAGGTAGTATTAGGAGGAGGAATAAGGGGAATTTTGTACCATTTTGTGCATGCTCAGCCACAAATTTTAACTAGCCATTTACCTAATCGTGTTACTGTATCAATTGCTCCTATAGTATCAGGTCACAGAACATGGTAGAGTATCAGGAGAGGATAAGATGTTGAGTGAGATCTTTGCACGAGGCCCCATTGCCTGTACTATAGCAGTGACTTCAGCCTTTGAACAATACACTGGAGGAGTCTTCAATGACACTACTGGAGCTAAAGTACAATTGATAATGTACTTAATGTATTACCTATTGCCTGTCTATATATTGTATAGTCACTGGATCATGAGATATCCATTGCTGGTTGGGGAGTTACTAGTGGAGGAGTTAAATACTGGATTGGACGCAACTCGTGTATGTACATTATCATAATAATACACCTACCGCTATATGTATATACTGTTGAGTACAAAACTTTTGCTGTTTTTCTGATTAACAAATGATGACATGGTGCTAAAATCACATTTATTTTGATTTATAATTGATAACAGTTAGAGCTCTATAATCATACATTATCTTTCTTTCTCTCTCTGTTACTGTAGGGGGTACCTATTGGGGTGAAGCTGGCTGGTTTAGGTTGATAAGAGGAGTTGATAATCTTGGGGTTGAGTCCAACTGTGACTGGGCTGTCCCTGCTGCTATTCACTAACTACTGAACTCCTACAGCTGCTTACCATTGTATTATTGTATATTTTGTGTAGTTCCCTTTTGTTATTTATTGCTGGTTCAGCTGTTTGCTTTAATCTTTACCAATAATTAAGCTTCAGGTCCACGTGTAGGCATGTGGTTTTTGTATACGAATGTACATGTCCGTAAAATCAATTTTAATCACGTGATACTTCGCGAGGCATGCCCAGTACTGCACGTGGCAGGCCCAGGCAGGCAAGGTTACTATTCCCGCCATCTTCATAATTTGAAAAGAAGATGAGTAAGTTGAGGAGTAAGTTCTCTCTGTATCTCTTCCTGCTAAGTTCCTGGCCTCCTCTCTCTCTCTCTTACTAACAATCTCCATTGGTAAATATCTACTTATCTAACCTCTTCCTTTTTAGTATCCGCCATTTATCACCACTCCTCCACCATACCTCCAGTATCCTCAGTGTCTGGTAAGTGATTCCTTTATTATCTCATTATAGGCACATCAGAACTGAAGCTATTGAAGGCTAAGTCAAGTTGTATGGTAGTGTGTGTATTATATCATATTATACTGGCTCTATTGTTTTATGTAGGACAACCAGTCAGTATTTCAATGATCCTTTCATTCATTATTGGTATGTTTGTATTATTATTATGTACACTCTATGTTTGTAGGTAATAAAGTCCTGCCCTAATCTTTATACATGTACGTGTACATACGTATGCATTCTAATGTACTCTTGTATATTTTTAGGATATTACTCAGTATATTGTTTCAAGTCTCATCTATTGTACAGTAAATATGTGTTGTTCTTGTATTACTGCATAGCTTGAAATTTTCGTGGTTATGGGCTGCCCACGAAATTTAAACCCATGAAATCATTGAAGTGCCATCCATTTACAGGCTATGTAAACTGTCAACCACGAAAATTAAACCATGAATTGCCCCACTAGGAGCAAACCACAAAAATATCAAGCTATACAGTATTATCTATTTTACAGGTTATATTCATGTACCTGATCCATTTAGTATATTTTAAGTATTGTCCAGTATATGATTATATTATTATTTATTTTACAGGTGATAGAGATACTGAATTAAGTCTTTATGTGGTAGTTATGTCATTTTGGTAATAAATGAAAAATGTAATGCGTATTCTTGTTTATTTTCAGGATATTATCAGTATTCTAACAGATGAAACTACCTACAGTACATCAAGTGTCTGTTGCATGTTATGTGGTTATTCTTATACTATTATCTTATTGCTAATTCATGATGTTTACATTTAGCTCTTTTATATATTATTTTAGGTTGATGTGCATTACCTGTACAGCTATTACCATAGACCTTGCAAACTGCCAAGTAGTTCTGTGCAATTTGCTGTATCAATGATCAAAGGCAGTTCTCTCTATTGGTTAATGATATCCACACACTATCATGTACATGTACATCCTTATCTGTAACATGTATTCTATTCCCTTTCCTTAAGATTGCTACATAGACTCAAGCCAGCATGCAGTCTTCTTCAGCATCAATTCAGTCCAAGTCTTCAGTGTATGGTAACAATGTATCTATTGCATGTTATTAATAACCTTGATTACAGTGCTAATAATAAACGGCTCATTTTATCACTATTCATCCCATTACATGTAATAAAGCACTGTCCCATTGATCTTTACTTATTCTATTGTTTAAACATTTTTCTCTTTTATTTTTTACAGGGATCAAGTTTAAAGTTGGTTGAGTGTGAGGTACAGTGAGAGTTAATAATGTATAATTACGCATGCTTATAATGTATTTTATGCATGTACAATATAATCCACATATTCTGCTCTCTCCCACCCCCCCCCACCCCCTCTAGTAGGTCTGACTGTTCTGGACTGGACTCGGGATCAAGTTTAAAGTTGGTTGAGTGTGAGGTAGAGTGAGAGTTGATAATGTATAATTACGCATGCTTATAATGTATTTTATGCATGTACAATATGATCCACATATTCTGCTCTCTCCCTCCACCACCCCCCCTCTAGTAGGTCTGACTGTTCTGGACTGGACCCTGGTAAGGATTGATTGCATGTTCTCTGTTATTACATGTAATGGGATGAATAGTGATAAAATGAGCCAATGGTTTAAAATTTTGAATAATAAAAAAACAATAATAATAATTAAAAGGTAACTAATCAATTACTAAGTAGGTGGGGCTAGTAAAGGTATAACCACACCCCTAGCCAGTAGACTGTAGCCACACCCCCAATAAGGGGGGGTATTAGCCACACCTCCTAATGAGAAGGCCATCAGTGTGTGGGTGTATATTGTACTGTAGCACAGAACTACAGAGAGAGGTATTGTATCTATACTATTGTTGATATACATCAGCTGCTGCTGTATGCTGGTATTATTCCTCCTGTGGTTGCTTTATTAGTTTCTGTTTCTCACTATTCCTTTTGTTTGGTGCGTGGGCGTTCACTAAAGTAGGCGTGGTTTTCAAGGTGTTGAATTCCAGGTCCTCTTGTTTCAGTGTAACCTAATCCCATTCTTCCTTCACTCCACTACAATACTAGAGCTCAGTACTGTCCCTACTACTCCTGTTACTCCAGGTTAAGATGCTCTGTGGTGTGTTTAGGAAGCGGGTCCCTGTAGAATCTGCTAATTTTACAAATCAAAATCTCCGCGAGGTCCCCCCTGATCTATACCAGCACAGACACTCTCTCCAGCGACTCTATCTTAACACAAACTACCTCTCAGCTTTCCCAAAGGTAGGACCATCTTTCCCGGGTGATGGAGGCATGGGTTACTGCGCATGCTCACTGAACTGTGCCCTCTTGAGTTGTCTTAGCACTGGTCGCAGTGTAAACCACTGCTGGTGCATAAAATAAATAAAATAATGATAATTGTTTATGATTCTGTGGTTGCCCATGTATTATACATTAATATTGTGTGACCCCTGGGCCTTTATTGTGTCTTCATTTATTTATTTGTTATTACTCCAATCACTCCATGTGTGTGTATGGTATATGTGGCAGTGTTGGCTGGTAGTTTTATCATTTTTAAACGTTCAACTTTGCCCAATGTCTGCCACAGTACAAGAAGAAGATCAAGTATTGTAATCAATGAATCATCAATTACTCTCTCTCTCTCCTTGTGTAGGGTCTCCATACTCTAGAAGGACTCACTGAACTTGATATCAGTGAGAACAACATTCTCTTCCTCCCTCCCACCATTGGACAACTGACCAAACTGAAGATACTCAATATTAGCAGAAACCGTCAGTATAATCTTGAAACTGATCTTGTCTTGTCTTGTTTGTTGTTTGTGATAATGTTGTCATGCTTATGGCTGTCACCTCCATAAATACCTCATTATTAATCCTAATGTCTCTTAATATGTAGACCTACCAAACATTCCTAATGCTATACAGAACTGCACTGAACTGGTATCAATAAATATCTCCTGTAACCCAATTGGAAGGTGAACTGTATGAACACACACACACACTAATCATTATATACTGTACTGTACTGTATAGTCTACTGTATTGTACTGTATTGTATTCTACTGTACTGTATTGTATACTGTACTGTACTGTACTGTGTTGTGGTGGGTATGATAGTGTTAAATATGCATTTATATGTACTTCTAATTTAGTTAGTGTATAAACAGAATCAACACACATTCACTGATATTAGCTGCATCAACAACACCATCAATAAATAATGCATTATTAATGTATTATCATTAGGTTGTGTGATGGTATAGTCTCCCTGGCTCAGTTGAGGTTCCTCTTTGCTAATGAATGTGACATGGGCACTCTACCAGTCAACATCGGACAGTAAGTATCACTAGACCATAACAATGTACTGTCAGTTGGAAGAGGAGAGAGGGAATTTAATAAACCTATTTATAGCTATAGCCTGGTTTACTGGTAGTTCCATCACTGCATATACCACTGTGACACTGCCTATTAATGTACTAGTTATTCATTGGGTGTGATTTTGTTGGAATTTTAGTGTTCATTGTATGATTAACATTAGTTGAGTGTTCAAAGTAATGTAATAGGCTATGAATAATTATTGAATGTAATTGACCACACCCTCTTCTTGTTACTAGTCTCAGTAAACTGGTCAGTCTGGAACTGAGAGAGAACCACCTCATGTCACTACCAGAGTAAGTGAACTACAGTCACGTACACACACACACACAGAGTCATGGTCAATGGACATAATAATAACATCAGTAATAGTAGCATTATAGACTATAGTATTGATCATTATTGATTGCATCAATGAGTGTACAGTAGTACAATAGAACTCTTATAAGCAGTTGGTATGTAATATTTACTAATAATGATCATTATTAGGTTAGTATTTGAACATACATGTACATCAGGCCATATATATCATTATTAATACATTATAGGTTGTACTGTATGGGAATGATATTGGGACATTCTGTGTGGTAGTATGGGGCTTCACATCTCCTTTTAAAACTTCTTATAATTAATTGTTTACAATTATGAATCTGGAACACCTATCCACTTACAAACACCCTCCACTCCCCCTCCTCTCTCCTTCTCTCTCTCCCCCCTCTTTCTCTCTCCTCCTCTCCCTCTCTCTCTCTCCTGTAGGTCGTTAGGTCAGTTAAAGTATCTTGAGCGGTTAGACATTGGTTGCAATGAGTTTGAGAATATAGTAAGTCACCAATAGCAGCAGCAGCTCCTAGTATATAATGTATTGTTATTGCTTTCCTCCTCCTCCCTCAGTCTCCTGTGGTTGGTGGTCTCCAGTCATTAGAGGAGCTGTGGATTGATATGAATAGTTTGATATCCCTCCCTGAGGAGATGAGTGGGTTGAAGAAGTGTTCCTTCATTGAAGTATCAGACAATAGACTAATGGACCTACCACACTCCATTGGTCTCCTATCATCACTGACCGACCTCTACCTCCAGAATAACCTTCTCACCCAACTACCTGTGTCCTTTGGTTAGTCGTTGTTGCTATTATTGTTTATTTGTTTATTTGTTTGTTGTTAGGTTATTTAAAGAGTTTAAAGGTGTGTAATGTCTCCAGTAACAGGTTAATGTTCCTCCCTGAGTCAATAGGAGGGTATGTTGTACCACTAGTGTACTGTACTAATATGGTACTGTACTGATTATCACTTGTAATGTGTGTGTGTGTGCCTGTGTATCCCTATATCAGTGGTATTATATGTACTGTGGGCAATAGTTAGTTTATTAATTGATGGGTGGAGTCATTGTTAATTTGTGGGTGTGGTTACATTAATAGGTTGCAGAGTTTGACTGAATTCAACTTATCGCAAAACCACATCAATGTAAGATAATAACTAATAGTATAACTGTCACTAACTATTATCATTCCAGTATATCCCGTCCAGTGTTGGTGGTATGAAGTGTCTCAGTTTATTAAACTTTGATGAGAACAGACTGGAACACTTGCCAAAAGAAGTACTGACATTTATTTATTTATTTATTTATTATTATTATTATTATTA